CACATATGTAAAGTAAAGAAACAGTATGCCCAATTATATTTTAAAAATATGAAAAATGAAGAAGAAAATATGCCCAGGTATCATCAGCGACTCCCTCTGGTTGGTGAGACTGCTAGTAGTGTTCCTCCTCTACCCTGTGCTGATCAGGGGAAAGCAAAAAACAGATTAGCAACTCGCTCTTATGACTTATTACACTTTACTTTAGACAGTATCTAACTTGGCACCAATTTACATAGTTAATTACTTTCAAGCTGAAGGCATGAATGTTTTCAAGGAGTTACGCAAATACCTGAGATATTCAGAAACTGTTCCACTTGAACAAGTCTGAGACCATTTCCTTACAAGTAAGGACCCTTCTGACTCCAAGATTGGGATTTCTGTCATCTCAGCTCACACAGCCACGCAGCATTAGGCCCACCCTGCCGCTCTATCATGGCATCTTGCTTTGTTTCCTTCGTATTATACATCATTGTCGGAAATAACTTTGCTTTTTTGCCACTTCTCCCCCCGACCCACCCCCGCAGAACAGAGGCTCTTGGAGAGGAAGGCTTTTCTGCTTTGCCCCTCACTGTATCTCCATCATCCAGCAGACAGTGCCTTAGCAACACAGCTGGTGCTCACTGAACATTTGTTAAATAACTGTGCCCAAGTCACCTGGCACCACTCACCGTTCCCAATCCTCTCCCCCAGTGGCATCCCTGCCATTGTCACTAATTTCTCCTGCACTCCCATCTCTGTAATTTAAACTATCCCCCAAAGTATTAATTAACATGAAAACCAAAGAAATGAGGAATTCAAAGCAGTAGAGGATAATCCACGATTCTCTAGGCACAAGCACCACCTCTGCTCCAGCAGTGCCTGGTCTCGCTGCAGCAGAGCTCGGATCCCAAGGCGCTGGGAAGTTGTCCACGTCCTCTTCTCAACGTATCCTAACCTCTCCCACCCCACTCGTTCCCTGTCACCACCTCCACGTCCCAGATGAAGACACTGAGGCCAGGCCAAATGAAGCAGACCCCCAAGTCACCTAGTTCGGAGTGGCAGACACCAAAACTGCAGTGGAGAGCGAAGCAGGGGCAGCACACACAAACATGCATATGGGAGAACGTCAGACAAGTTTCTGGTCCCAAGGATCGTTCATACTCTTAAAAATTACTGAGGACCCCCAATATGTGGGTTTATAAGAATTATGGCCATTGATATTTATCATATTGGAAAGTAAAACAAATTCCTAAAATACGTGTTTTCAATACATTATTTTTTATTCATTTAACAATAACAATGAACCCATTACTATTACATGTCAACCATTTTTGTTGTGTAAAGAAATTTAGTGAGAAGAGAAAATGTTTTTACATTTCTGCAGATCTTTTCAGTGTCTGGCTTAAAGGAAGACAGCTGGATTCTCATATGTCCCCCTGCATTCAATCTGCTGCAGTATGTTGTTCAGGCTAAACCACCTGAAGAAAACCTACCTCACACAGATGTGCAGTTGGAAATAGGAGGAGCGTTTTAATGGCTTTTCCAGATAACTATGGACACTCTTCTTTGATGCCACGTCAGAACTTGACAAGCATAGTAGCTTCTTAAAAGTTCACTGCAAATGGTGCAACCACTTTTGAAAACAGTCTGGCAGTTCTTCAAAAAGTTAAACATAAAGTCACCATATGACCTAGCAATCCCATTCCTAGGACCAAATCCAAGAGAACTGAGAACGTATTTCCAAACAAAACCGTGTACACCGATGCACATAATAGCATTATTTATAATAGCCAAAAGGTGGAAACAACCGAAGTGTCCATCAACTGATAAATGGAAAAAAACAAAACATGGTAGATGCATACCAGGGAATATTATTCGGACACAAAAATGAAGTAGCAGCACATGCTACAACATGGATGAACCCTGAAAACACAGGCTTCTAACCGAAAGAAACCAGACACAGAAGACCACAGACTATAAGAGTCCATTTATGTGAAGTGTCCAGAATAGGCAAATTCATAGAGACAGAAAGTTGACTGAATGGTTGGCAGGGGCTGACAGGCAGGCATAGAAGGTTACAGCTCAAGTGTTTGTTTTACTTAGTTTTTGTTAGGCTGCGGGGAAAATCTGCAAAACAAAAATTCTGTCAATAGTTTTAAAGAAATCACAATCATCACACCCATCAAAAAAAAAATCTAAACTCTGTCATAATTTACAGGTTTTAAAAAGACACATTGTAACACTGTAATTTTTAAAAAATGAACAAGGCACCAGCCCAGAATGACTCTGTTGAGCGTTGTCCCATGAACTGAAAGTCCCGGGTTCAATTCCTGGTCAGGGCACATGCCAGGGTTGTGGGCTTGATCCCCGTGGTGGGCATGTAGGAGATAGCTGACTGATGTTTCTCATATCGATGTTTCTCTTTCTCTCTCTCCCTCTCTTTAAAATCAATAAAGGTGTATTTTTACAAAAATGAACAAGGTGCACTGGAGTACTTAAAAGGAGGTTGTAAAGGAGGTCAGAATGGACAGCATCTGACCACTAGGAATGTGCCCGATTGAGAAGAAAGGAAAAGTCATCCCAATTAAAAAGACTCAGCCTGGCCAGCATGGCTCAGTGGCTGAGTGTCAACCTATGAACCAGAAGGTCATGGTTTGATTCCCGGTCAGGGCATATGCCCGGGTTGCAGGCTCCATCCTCAATGTGGGGCGTGCAGGAGGCAGATGATCAATTACTCTCTCTCTCATCACTGATGTTTCTCTCTCTTTCTCTCTCTCTCTGAAAGCAACAAAAATATTTTTTTAAAGACTCATTTGTTTCAATATTTGAGTCCCCATGAAGGGCCTGGCAGAATTCTATGGGCTGGGATTCTATGAAGAACACAATTCTCTGTTCTCAAGAAAATTACACTCTAGAAGGGACAGATCAGCAAGTAAATGAGCAAGAAATGTCCAGTTCCTACCACAAAGGAAATAAAGCAGGACTATGGGCGAAGGGGAAGACATTTAGATTGTGTCACCCCGTGTGGCCCGAAGGCAGTCACATTCAGTCTGACCTGAAGTGACATAAAAGAGTCACCATGATCCTGGAACAGTCTGGAGCTTGTCCAGTGCAGCAAGAACCCAAAGAACTTACCACCCCCATTGCTAGGACAAGAAAGGAAGCACAGGCCTGCTGGTGGCTACCGCATGGTCCAGACAGGGATGAAGGCAGCCTGACTTAAGGTGGCAGCAGTGACAATTAGGAGAAACGAGTAAGTTCAGGAGACGCAGTGGAGGCAGGAGATGATAGAATTTGGGGTTTTCTGGACAGGCCCAGACTGGAGTTATGAACTGGGATCTCAAGAGCATACAGCTTGCACTTGGACAATAATGCCGGTGATCACCTGGGCCAGGTAGGGAGGGAGGCCGAGGTCTGAGTTCTGGCTCACTCGCAGCTCTCAGAGGCCCACCAGCCAGAGAAGGGACAGCACCTGACCACGAGAAGCTGCCTGGGAGGTGGCAGAAAACACCTAAGCCCTGACCGGTTTGGCTCAATGGATAGAGCGTCGGCCTGCAGACTGAAGGGTCCCGGGTTCGATTCAGATCAAGGGCATGTATCTTGGTTGCAGGCACATCCCCAGTAGGGGGTGTGCAGGAGGCAGCTGGTCGATGTTTCTCTCTCATCCATGTTTCTAACTCTCTATCCCTCTCCTTCCTCTCTGTAAAAAAAAAAAAAAAAAAAAAATCAATAAAAAATATTTTTTAAAAAAATAAAAAAGAAAACACCTAAGTTCCCGTCAATGTCACCCACATGTCTCGGTCAACGATAGACGCTTAAACCCTGGGCCTGTTTGCCTACACTTCCCTTTTCCAGGATCCCCCGCGACCCGCTAAAACTTGGGGGTGACCGCAACGTTTATTTATTTTCCGCTCGTTGCTATGTTTTATGCATGAACTTGCCCCTTGAGGGTGAAAAGGGGGTCTCTTGATAACTAGAACACCTCGGGGTCGGGTCACCCTTTCTAAAAACCCTAAGGCTCAACGCGGACTCTGAACACACCCAGCTGCTGCTTTAGGTAACACTTCCTATGAAGCGCCCTGCCTTGTCTCCCTAAATTCGCACGTGGCGTTCGATCTGAAGAAGGTGGGAGCCGAAGAGAACACTGCGCTCACGGGATGCACAGAAAGGACGCCCCACGGCGAGTCTCCCGGGGGGACCACCGCGCCCCGAGCTGAACGGAGCGCAGACGCGCAGCGCCGGCCCCGCAGCTCGGCTACTTGCCGGCCCCGCCGGCCGCTCTCGGGGGCTCGGTTTCCCGGCTGTCACCCGGGGCCGCCCTCCGCCCCCAGGACAGCCGCGAAGATGCGGTGAGGAAGGCTCGCCGGCGGGGCAGGGAGGAAGCAGGCGGGGGCGACAGGGGTAATAACCACCGGCGCCAGGGCCACAGCCCGGGGTTCGAGGCCATCTCACCCATCACCCCCGCAGGAGCGGTCCCTCCGCCCGGCCTCGGTCCCGGGCAGGAAGGCCCACCTCCCCGGGCACCGGAGCGGCGCGGCTGCAAGGCAGCTCCCCCACGTGGGGAGGGAGCCGGGTGGCCGGGAGAGCGGCCCGCGCGCGGCGCCCGGAGCAAACGCAGGACAGGAGAGGCCACTCACCTGCTTGAAGGTGCTGGTGAGGAAGTAGACCAGCGAGAGCCCGAAGACCAGGGCGAGCACCCACCTCTTCCGCAGGAGCCGGCGCCACACCATGGCCGCCAGGTTCACCATGCCGGCGCGGACGCGGGGCGCGGCGGCCGGGGCGCGGAACGGGGCAGGCCCGGAACCCGGGCGGCATGGCCCCTACGCGGCGGGCAGCCCCATTCCTCACGCCGGGCGCCGGCCCCGCGGCCCTCAGCCCAGCCAGCTCCCGACAGCCACCCCGCGCCGCCTCACGTGACCACGTCCTAAGTCCCGCCTTCACGAGCCTTGCGATTTCACCGGGCCTCGTTCGGCCTTATTGCCATTGGTCCCTGCAGATATGCGGATTCCTATTGGCTGAATCCCGGAAAGGGGGCGGGCAATCATGTGCGTGCGGCGGGAGTGGCTGTGCCGGGCTCCTAGCGCCCAGCCAGTCAACCCTGGAGAGAATCCTGTCAGAGGCCGGAAGCCCTCGAAAGTCACGTGCTCCCAGGGCTGCACGAATGATTGGCTGGGAAGGACATGAATGATGCCGCTGTGATTGCTGTATCGTCTGGGCAGGTAAAGAGAGAAAGCGTTGGTTTTGTTTTTTGCTTTTTGGTGTGTGTTTTTTTCCTATGGTCCGTGTAGACTCCTGCCCTTGCAGTCCCGAGGGCGTTTTGCGTTGAACGTTGGCTGCAGGAATGAAAAACGCTCCCGGCATTGTACCCAGTGCACCTGCCAGCTTCCAATGCGATTAACGCAGGAGATGCTCTCCTGCATGCATTCCACTGCAGTCAGGTAAAGGTCGGGGGCCCAACTTAAAAAATGACCTGTATTGTCATTTTTCATAGGGCAGTGGTACGATGCGTGCCGCAGAGGATTAAAAGGCGTTTCTTTCCTATGCGTCCCACGTGCAAAAATTTATTCCAGATTTCAATATTGGAATAATTAAAGTCTGCTTCCAACAGAGTATTTGGAGCCCCTGCAAAAGCAAGCATATGGAATCAGAATCTTGGGCATTTCATTTAGGAGGCTGGGTCAGATTTGTGGATGGAAGCTTTAGGATACTATATTTTATTTTCCCCAAGGATATGCAGGTGATAGGGTATCTTCAGATGAGGACATTAAGCTGACATTGCAAGTTCTGAAAGTTGAGAATTTTTTTGTTTGTTAATCCTCACCCAAGGATATTTTTCCATTGATTTTTAGAGAGAACGGAAGGGAGAGGGAGAGACAGAAAAACAGATGTGAGAGAGACACATCGATTGGTTGCCTCCTACATGCACCCCAAACAAGAGCCAGGGAACCTGCAACCAAGGTACGTGCCTTTGACCAGAATCGAACCCAGGACCCTTCAGTCTGAGGGTGGATGCTCTATCCACTGAGCCAAACTGGCTAGGGTGAAAGTTAAGAAATATTTACATAATGAGCTTTCCTTCATATATGAAAATGGAACTACTGACCCATTTCTTAACTGAGTTTCCAAAAGAGAAAGAAGGCTTAGCTAGTGGGTTTTCTCTTTAATCATTGGCCCTAGTAATACCAATGCTGACTCCCGAAAAAGCTGGCCAGGATGAGGAAGCCATTCAACAGCCAATGATGGTGGCCGGAACTAAAAGAATCAGATAGCATATTTGGTTATACAAAAAACATTCAAGGAAGCTAAACCTATTCGTGGGAGGTCTACAGCCTTTATTTCTCTTCTAGGGTGAAAAGCCTAGGAGGGAGCAAGGGGTGCAGGAAAAGGTACCAAGAAACCCATGGATGTTTTACTCATTGAATAAATCTTGTTGAGTGCTACTCTGTGCCAGGCAGTGTTCTAGATGCTGAGGTAGAGGGGGGAACCAGGTAGACAGGCTCCCTGCTTTTGTGGCACTTATCCTTCTACTAGGGCCGTGATGGCGAACCTATGACACGCGTGTCAGAGGTGACACGCGAACTCATTTTTTTGGTTGATTTTTCTTTGTTAAATGGCATTTAAATATATAAAATAAATATCAAAAATATAAGTCTTTGTTTTACTATGGTTGCAAATATCAAAAAATTTCTATATGTGACACGGCACCAGAGTTAAGTTAGGGTTTTTCAAAATGCTGACATGCTGAGCTCAAAAGGTTCGCCATCACTGCACTAGGGGATACATCATAAATAAGTAAGCAAACATGTAAATTAATACGTGCTATGGAGAAGGTTAAACAGGACAATGTTTGGTGGGTCAGGAGGTCTAGAGGAGAAGGCCTCTGGGAGGAGGTGACATTTAACCTGAAGAAATTAGCCACAAGGAAAATCATTCCAGGGAGAAGGAACAGCAAACTCAAAGGGCCTGAGGCAGCGACAGCCGGAGTGTGTGAGGGACAGAAAGTCCCTGTGGCTGGAGGGGAGTGGTTAAACGGAGGGTAGAGGGAAATGTGGCTGGAAACAGGTAAGCTCCATCAGCTAGGACCTGTAGGCCAGTGGTTCTCAACCTTCTGGCCCTTTAAATACAGTTCCTCATGTTGTGACCCAACCTTAAGATTATTTTTGTTGCTACTTCATAACTGTAATGTTGCTACTGTTATGAATCGTAATGCAAATATCTGATATGCAGGATGGTCTTAGGCGACCCCTGTGAAAGGGTCGTTCGACCGCCAAAGGGGTCGCGACCCACAGGTTGAGAACCGCTGGCTATGAACTGAAGTTGGATTGTATTCTGATTGCAATAGAAAGCCATTGGGGGTTCTAAAACATATGTTCTGTATTCCCCAATTAGGACTCAGTTTCACAGTAGGACAAAATGCATTGAGATCATGACCATTCTCAAGAGCCCTAAAGAGCGGTCAGTGAGAAGCTAATCAGAGATTTGGAGCAGATAGAATCATGTGCTATAGCCCATGATGCTCCAAGATTATTCAGAGGTTCAGGTCATCCAGGGACTATTCATGTAAGTGTTCTGTTCCACCCAGGGTTTGGAGTCTCTCATAAACACCCCTGACCTGTGCATCTGTCTGGAGAGGACGAGGCAGGGGAAGCCTGCTTTCTCTGCAATCCAGTGATCACATCCCCGTCAGGATCCCTGCATGTCCACTTCAGGTGTCGTCAGCATGGAATTCTGAAGTCCATGTGGCTCCTCACAGTAAACAAGGTGACGTGTCTCCATGAGAATTCACATATTCATTACCACTTTATCCATTGTGAGCGCTGGAAAGAAGCTTTGGGTTCAGCCACTCCACGCCCTCCCATTTAACAGATGAGGAATCTGGGTCCCCAGAGAGGTGACTGATTTGCCCAGAGTCAGACAGCAAGTTAGGGGCAGCATCAGTCTAGAATCCACGTCTTCTCCTGCCAGTCCGCTGCTCACTTCACCTCATCCATCACCTCTTTGCCGCACAGTCCAGTGCTTTCCTCTCTCCCATGAGGACTTTCTCCGCGTCTGGGCTTCAACAACCTCATCTGTGAAATGGGGTGATAACACTTTCCTCAATAGGATTGAGTGTCGAATGGCATAGCGGGTGGAAACAAGGTTTGGAAAATGGCAGAGCGCTCTAGGGATATGCGATATGAGGAGTCCTTATTTATAATTACCATGGCAGTCTGACAGGCAGTGGGGATGTTGGGAGACTCTGGCTTATGCCATGTGTTGGCTTTCAGGTCTTAAGGAAAATGCAGAGACGCCACAGCAGTAACACGGATAACGTTCCACCTGAAAGGTAGGCATCTTTTGGTTTCATTCCATCTGGGGGCTCTGGGCTTCGAGTGGTCAGGGGCAGCTCAAAGCTGTATTGAACAATACCTGCATCTCAGGGTTCCTTGTTTGAGGAGCAGAGGAGATCTGATTAGAAACTGCTTTGCACAGTGATGGCCTATACTACTCAATGCATAACTGCTGGCTGTTGCTCTTATGGTAATTCTCAAAGCCTGTGTGACAGGTGATGCACTTGACTCATTGTATCAATGATTGTACCCATGAGATTTTAATTTATGGAGGTGACTGAGTGACAACATGGAGAGGCTAATGCCATTGAAAGATCTTTATTACTTACATTTCCCGAGAGAAGGGGACATGTTACACCACGTAGGGCCACAGGGGAAGCACCAGGGTCGCCCAGGAGGCAGAAGGGAGCAAAGGGAAAACATCGGCCACAGCTTTTATTGTGTTTTCCACACAAATCAGGACAGGGCAGAGGAAACGGCTTAGCATTGTCTACTTTGAGCAATGTCAGCGGGCTCTGGGCTAAAGGGTGGTCTCCGGTTGTCTGGTGCCTGGTCCTGGGTGACTCAGGGCAGGAGAAATATTGGCTGGATATGTGAGCATTAGATCAAGGAGGTGGCTGGGGATATGGGCTCTGGATTGCAAGGAAGTTGTAAACAACTTCGGCTGTTAGTTTGCCCCTGTAATGAGCGGATGCCAGATAGACAAACAGAATCTATGAAAACACAGTTAAAACGCTCCTGAGCTAGGATTTCTCTAGTTAAGCCCAAGAGAGAACACACCATGGGACCTGTTCTCAGGTTGTGACAGTATCTCAGCCCCAGACTCCTGCCCCTCTGCCCCCCCCCCCAACATGCTAGCACATGCATGCAATGAGCAGGCACCCAAGCTTTTCCTCCCTCGGATCGCATTCCATTTCCCATGCGATTCGGAGATTGGCTGCAAAATCAGAGTACCCGGCAGTCCCAGCATTGGGCCTGAGTTTTGCAACAAGCCTGCCTGTTCTGCAGGGAAGAGCTCTGGCCTTAAATCACACGACTCTTGGCCAAATCCCAGCTCAGCCCCTTCCCACCTATGATGCCTTTGGAACGTGACTTCACCCCTAGGCCTCCATTTCTCCACCCATAAATGGCAGATAATGACACTCGGGTTTCTTGTGAAGGAGCGAATGGATATGAAAATGCACACACACAGCATCCAAATAATAAGCATGCCCGTTGCAGCTTTTCCAGCCTCTGAGGACAGAATGGCTGCCTGCTCTCCAGTGAACCATGAGATCTTTGGGGGCAGAAGAAGAATGGCCACCGTGTGTTGCACTCACTCTGTGCCATTGATGGGGTCGGGACTATTTGTATCACCATTTTGACAGATGAGGAAACTGAGGCTCAGAGAGTCGAAGTGAATTACCTGAAGTCCCACAGCCAGGAAGCGGCAGGGCTGAGATTGGGATCCCAGGCCACTTGCCAGCTATCTCCCGCACCCCCACCCTGAGTCTGTGCATGAAGCCAGCACGTTTTGGCGGTCTCCTCGCTGGACAGATCCACTCCTCTCCTGGGTTGCCTCCCACACTAGCCCTTAAGTGGTTAAGTTAGAAGTAAAGCCGCTGCCTCCCCAAGGAATATTCTTTCCCATTTAGGCTGAAATCTCGGCTGGATGCTAGGGCCCAGCTATAAAAAGCCGCTTGGTGGATTGAGTCTTCACTGGTTGTACTAGAGGTCCCATGAGCCCCGTGAACTCAGAGTGTTGGTGAGCTTCAGGGGGCCAGGAAGACTTTCCAGGTCCTCGGGGGGAGGTGGGAGAGGGAGTGGCCCCCATGTGGGCCAGGGTGGGCACCTGCCAGCACTCAGTCGTTCTTAGCTTCTTAAGGTGCAGAAAAAGCTCGAGGCCCCTTGAGGATCATAGCCATGGTGTCAGTTGTTGTTGTCATTATTAATATTATCTTTATTATCATGCCAAACCCAAGGGAGAGGAACCACACATTTCCTGGGATTTTGGAGGCAGCAGGGGATGTGCCAGGTGGTAGGGGAGTAAGTAGCCATCTTCAAGTTCCCCTCCCTTGCACCAGGTTTGTGATAACTTAACCCTGGGTCAAGTTTATGAAGCCAGAGTAATCAACCCTGATATTTCTCCAGACCAGCATTGCCCCTGCTGGGTTTCACCGGTGTTCTCTAAGACAGCAGTCACCAACCGGTGGTCCGTGAGGTCCAGAAGGTTGGTGACCGCTGCTCTAAGACATTCGTAGGTTTTACACACACACACACACACACACACACACACACACACACACACACAAAATTCCATGGTGAAATAAGTTTGGAAAACACTAAGTTTAAGCGTAATTAATTTTTCCAATTGCAGGCCTTGTCAGAGCCTTTAATATGCTCATTCATTCATTCTTTCAAACACTGTTTCTTGAGCATGTTTTATGTACCAGGTGCATTGTGCTGGGTAGGAGAGATATACAGTGGGGGAAAACAATCATGATCTTCGACTTCATGGCAAGGGCCCAGTCTAAAGTGCTATCCTCAGTGCTTACTACACATGAGAATCACCAGGCGCCTCTGAAGACCTAGGAGAGGCCAGGCCCCACCCTCAGAGATTTTGGTTCAGTAGGGCAACACGGGGTCCCAGGCACCTGTACCAGGTATTTTTCAAAAGCTGCCCTGAGTGGTTATAACGTGCAGCTAGGGTTGAGAGCCACAGACAGGTAAGCAGTGAATGATGATTTGTGATCAGTCCCGTGCAGCTGAGGTCAGGATGCAATGAGAACTAGGAGTAAGGAGATGTCATTTTCTGGGAGTAGGTCGGGCAGGCTCCACCAAGGAAGGTGAGCATAGGTACCGAGGTGGGTCAGGGCGAGGGTGACATCTAGTGCAGGGGACAGCCTGTGCAAAGGCCCTACAGTAGGAAGCCTTGGGTAGTGAGGGAAGGGCATACAATGAGATTGGAGTTTGGGGCTAGATAATCCAGGGTGTCTAGCATGCTCATCTCTCTGAGCCTCAGCTTCTTTATCGGACCATCTGTGCAACTTTGGACAAGTTATTCTCTCTCTTTCTCCTCCTCTCTCTGTGCCTCAGTTTCTTGATCTGTCAAATGGGGGTATTATTAGGACCTTAATTCTCAGGGTTGGTAAGAAGATTTAATGAGTTAATCAGTGGAAAGCACTTAGAAAACTGTCTGGTACGTAGTAAATTTTCAATAAAGAGTATGGGCCTGTTGCTGTTATTATTTGAATGAGTTTGCCAGGCCTGCCGTGGCAAGATACCGCACCTTAAACAACAGAAATGTGTCTCCTCGCGGTTCTGGAGGCTGGAAGTTCAAGATCAGGGAGATGAAGATACTGTCAGTGTTGGTTTCTTCTGAGGCGTCTCTCCTTCGCCTGTAGATGTCCTCACATCATTCTCCCTCCTGTGTGTGTCAGTGCAAGGACACCGTTCATATTGGATGAGGGCCTGCCCTAATGACCTCATTTCATTAGTCACTTCTGCAAAGTACCTGCCTCCAAATTACAGTCAGACTCTGCGGTCCTGGGGGTTAGGGCTTCACCATAGGAGTTTGTGGGGCGGCAAAATTCAGCTTAGGACATTATTGATACTGTTATCTGTCCCCCAGTCTCCCCTGGGTGACTGTCTTTCTACCTCTCTGACTTGTGGGGCTTTCTCTTCCCTTCTGGCCTAGAAATCGCAGCCAAGCACTCAGCCCCGAGGTGAGCGTGAATGAAGGGGGCGTCTTTGAGGGTCTGAAGGCAGAAGCCGCCTCCCCGCCAGCGCTCTTCTCTGGCCTCTCCGGCCTCCCGACAGGCAGCCTTCCCGCCGCCCCGTTCCCATCCAGCCTGGTGCTGGGGGCCTCTGCCAGCGGTGGGGACGTGTTCCTCCAGATGCCAGCGTCCAGAGAGGAGGGTGGAGGCCGGGGCGAGGGCGGCACCTACCACCACCGCCAGCCCCACCACCACTTTCACCACGGAGGACACCGTGGGAGCTCGCTGCTGCAGCACGTGGGCGGGGACCACCGGGCGCACGCAGATGAAGCGGGTGATGAGCACCCCGGCACTCCCGCCCCTGCCCTGTCCGAGCTGAAGGCCGTGGTCTGCTGGCTCCAGAAAGGCCTGCCCTTCATCCTGATCCTCCTGACCAAACTGTGCTTCCAGCATAAGCTCGGTGAGTCCCAGGGACACGGGGATTTCAGCTGCAGGTAGGGGGCTCTCCATCCCAAATGCCAGGGAAAGGCGGCAAAGGCCCTCACCATGCAGTAAGAGTATGGGATTCTGAGTCAGTCCTGGGTTCAAATCCTGGCAGACTAGCTGTGTGACTTCAGGCAAGTCACTCACCTTCTCTGAGCCTCTGTTTCCTCATCTGTCCAGTGGGGGTTGTGATAGGAGCTCCCTCGCTGGTTGGTTGGTGTGAAGGAATAGAGTGTAGTAATAAGGAGTTCAGACTACTTGGATCTGAACTCAGGCTCTGCCCCTTCCTAGCTGTGTGACGCTGGATTCGTTATTAACTTCTCTGTGCCTCATCCATAGAATGAGGGTTATAGTACAACATACTTCATGAGATTGCAGGAGGTTAAATGAATTAATATGTTTAAAGCACTTAGGACAGTGCTATGCAAGGATAGGTTATTATTTTCATTATTTTTCTTATTAATATATGTAAAATACTTAACAAAGAATCTGGCACAGAGCAAGTGCTCAATAAATACTCCCTATTGTTAGTAGTATTAGGAAGTAAGATAATGATTCATAAAGTGATTAGCCTTGCACCAGACATATACTTCACATTCAATAAGTGGTCTCTGCTACACTGTCATTATTATTATTACTAGAGGCCCGGTGCACAAATTCGTGCATGGATGGGTCCCTCGGGGTGGCCTGCAGAGATTGGGCCCCAGCTCGCACCCCCAGCCTCGCAGCCTCGCAGCCCCACCTGGCACCCTGCCTTGGCCTGGCGCCGCCCCCTCACCTGCTCCACCATCCCACCTGCAGGGTGATCGATTGGGGCTGGGGCTCCGCCCGGGTCCCTGAGCACCTGGGAGCCAAGCGGCGGCCCTGCCTCCCCCAACCCCCACCCGCTACCACTGCTGGTCGCCATCTGCTCACCTGCCCCACCATCCTACCACGGTCCCTGTCTTGTCGGGGCCCATCAGGGCCAGCAGCACCTCCACTGCTGCCCGCTGCCAGCGCCGTGTAGCTGACGCCACCATGTTTCACGCCGCCCTCTGGTGGTCAGCGCATGTCATAGCGAGCAGTCGAACTCCCGGTTGAACTACTACCCCAGGGGACAATTTGCATATCAGGCTTTTATTATATAGGATTACTAGAAGCCCAGAGCGTGAAATCACGCAGCCCCACCCACCCGTGCTGGTCTTTGGTTGTTACGGCGTTAGGGCCACAGGCCTTTTATAATATAGATTACTTACTGTTACCAGATCATGTTGTTGCTGTGCCCGGGAGAGTTTTAGGCTGCTGTTTTAGTCCTATAGTAGGAATGATGGTACAAATGATCTCATGCCCTACTACGTCCCATAGACAATATGTAGAGGAGATGAGGCCATTCTATGGGTCCTATTTGCGCCTTCTGGAGGTTCTAGCTGACTCATCACCCCACCTTCCTTGTTGGGTGTTGTCATGGCTGCCTCCCTTTTCATTCCTAGACATGAAAGCCAGGATGTTTCCTTTTATCCTGAGTTCCCTTATGCTCACAACTTAAATTTTATTCTCAAGTATGGCCAGTTTCTTTTTCATTTGGCAGGTTTGTTTATTGCTCAAAGAGGAAAATAGAAGGGATGGTAGAGTTACTAGTTTTTATTTTATATATTTCCAGTGAAGAAATACATCTTTGACATATTAGAGCCAGAAAAGTACCTGGATTGCACGCACTATTAAAAAAGTGGAAGTGAACTCCAAGCAGGAGAAGCTGTGCACTTGGTGTGGAAACAGAATCCTGTCTACAGGTTATGAAAAGTAGGATTTGCAAATCCCTATTCCGGGAGAACTCCAAGATGGCAGCTTGGCAAACAGTGGCAATTGAATGAAGTGGAGTAAAATTCAGTTCTATTCCCCTATCTGCCAGGGTCATGTTTTTCTGTCAGCAGGAGTTTTTTTTCCCCTTTAATATTAAACTTTTTGAAAAATGTGTTTTTATGGATTTTAGAGAGAGAGGAAAGGAGAGGGATAGAGAGATAGAAACATTGATCAGCTGCCTCCTGCACACCCCCTACTGGGGATCCAGCACACATCCCAGGCATGTGCCCTGACTGGGAATTGAACTGGTAACCTCTTGGTTCATGGGTCGACACTCAACTACTGAGCCACACCGGCTGGGCTTAACATTAAACTTTTATTCCTTACTAGAGACCCAGTGCACGAAATTTGTGCAAGAGTAAGCTTTCGCAGCCGGCAGCTGCCTGGATCCCTCCCTCGCAGCCACAGCAGCTGCCTGGATCCCTCCCTCGCAGCCACAGCAGCTGCCTGGATCCCTCCCTCACAGCTGCAGCGGCTGCCTCGATCCTGCGGCTGCAGCCCCGGCTTCGTCCGGAAGGACGTCCGGTCTAATTAACATATTACGTTTTCATTATTATAGGTGGTGTCACGGTCTTTTTCTATGTATGCTTTTATTACAAGTAACACTCCTCAGATTCTTTTTGAAAGTAAAAATAATAATAGGTACCATTGATTGACTGCTAGAGATGGTGCTCTATAAGCATTATCCCTCCAGGGGTAAGTACTGTTATTATTCTGTCCATTTTATAGATGAGGAAAGGGGGCTCAGAGAGGTGCAGTGACTAGCCATAGCTCACACAGAGAGGAGGTCGTGGAGCCAGGATTTGAACCCAGGTCTTACCAGGCTGCACAGCCCGTGCTCCTAACCCTGTCCTATGAAATGCCCCAGAGAGGCACCAGTCACATCCCTCGACTAAGAGTGGCTCAAGGGTCTCTAAAGTGGGACTAGGCCCAAGTCCCCTAGAAGTGAGATTTTCTCTCTCCTAAGGTTAGTCTGTAAACTCCAGGGGCCAGGGATGTGTCTTTTTAATGTTGCTCACCGTCCCCAGTAAGCCAGGGCCCGGCCTGATGAGTCTCAGTGGCGGTGTTGGGTCCTCCTCTGTCCCGCAGGCATTGCTGTGTGCATCGGGATGGCCACCACCTTCGCCTACGCCAACTCCACCCTCCGAGAACAGGTCTCTCTGAAGGTGAGTCACCTGGTGAATTCGTCTTCCGTGGCTGCTCTAACAAATGACCTCAACCTTAGTGGCTTAAAGCAACATCTGTTGATTATGTTACCGTTCTGTCCATCAGAAGTCTGAAGGGAGCCTCTCTTCGCTGAGATCAGGGAGAACAGGGCTGTGTTCCTGCAGGAGGGTCTGGAGGAGAAGGTTTCCTTGCCCTTTCCAGCTTCTGGAGGTCGCCCACATTCTCTGGCTCCGGGCCCCTTCCTCCTCTTTGAGCCGACAGGCACCATTGCATCTCTGTGACCATCTTTCCACAGTCACACCCCCCTCTCACTCGCCTCTTCTGTCTCCCTCTTCCACTTCTAGGGACCCTTGTGATGACATTGCATTCACCTGGATAAATCCACAGTCTCTCCCCATCTCAAGATCAACTGATTTGCAACCATAATTCCACCTGCAGCCTTAATTCCCCTTTGCCATGTGACCTGACATATTCACAGGCTGCAGGGATTAGGATGGGGGCATCTTTGGGGGGGTCATTCTTCTGCCTGCCACCCTGGGCAGAGCCCTTGATGTGCCATCCTTCTCCCAAGCCCATCCATCTGCAGTGCCTTCCCAGCCCAGTCCCTTTACCCTCCTGGCATTCAACCAGTTAGCTCACGTGCAACCCACTCTTATGGTTAAGGCCATTCCACTGGCACGGCCGGGTGCCATACAGCTTCACTTCCATCATCCTAAATGCCCTCTAAGATTTGCTGAGCACTAACCATGCCCAGCACAGCTAGGCCCATTGCACAGCTCATCTTGCAAATTTGTCCCAGATACCTGTGGGGGGGAGGGCACACAGAGTCATTCTTATCTCGTTTTTCCAATAGGAAACAGCGCCTCAGAGACACTAAGTTCCTTGCCTGGGGTCCCATAGCCAGTGCCAGTGGTGGCATCAAGACAGGAACTCAGGCATTGAGCCCACAGGCTGTGCTCAGCCTTGGTTCAAATTCCAGCTTCACGCACGAGCAGCTCTTAGATAGGATGGTTACCTTGGTAACCTCAGCCTCAGGTGCCACCTCTGGAAAAGGGACCTCTTACACCCATAGAGAGGATCGAATGAGACAGGGCAGAGAAGGTGTTTAGCACGGGGCCTGGCATACAGGTAACGTTGAATCGAGCTATTTTTAACAAGCCTGTGCGTTGTACTGTGCGTGTGGCCCCATGACAGCCACCATCCTCTCTGGTCCTTCTTTGGGGCCATCTGCTTTCTCAAAAAGCTCCTGGGCCTCCGTGAGGCATGAAGGGCAGGCAGTCTCCATTTGACACAAGCCGTTGAGGTCCAGAGTTGGACATGGAGCCAGAGGTTCTCCCTGACCCCGAGTCTCATCTTCTCCAGGCAGACCCCTTTCTGCTGCTATTAGAACAACAGGTTGGCTGACGCCGTAAGGGCAGGCTGTGGGGGCTGCCTGTCTTTCAAATGCATGAACCTCCAAATGGTGCCTTGGCTTGAGTTTTCGGGGGTAAAAGAATACCTGTATCCGTGGACAAGCTTCCAGGGGCCCTGAAACCTAGGAAGTGAAGACACGGGTGACGTTTTGCCTGTCTGCACATATTTTCTGTGAAAGAGAATCTCCATAACCCTTAGTAAGTTCTGGAATCTCAGCTTAACATTAGAGAACTACCTGCTTTGTCCTTCAGATTGTGGCTTCTCGGGGCATTGCTAATTCCCTCTTTCTCTTCCACCTTCGGTTTAGATTTACAGAGGACTCAACTGGAATCCATTATTTATTGGGGTAAAAGGGCTGCCGAGTGGGTTAATCACATTGATAAGAGCCGTTGGTTGGTTGGAGGTGGTTTCTAGGGTCGTTAACCTTGACCGCTCCTGGAATAATGGGTGGATGGAGATGCATTTATTTTGTCTACTCTGGAAATATGCCTCGTAAGGGTGTGTGGGGCGCTGCGCTGTGTCTGGAGACAGTGGAGCATTTACCGAAACCGCAGGGAAGGTTACACTGGGAAAGCTATGACCTCATCCTATTCCAGCAAGGCAGCCTCCCTGGTCCAGGAAGAGACGAGCTTTTGAGAATCAGCACACGGGGGTCTACGTTTGTCTCCCGGGGTACACAGGCGGGGACACGCCAGCCCGGCGCCGCCTCCAGAAATTTCCTGGGATTGTTCTCAGGCCGAGAAGCTGCTGGGAAACCGCAAACTGAGAGCGCTTTCCAGCTTGTCTTCCTGGGGACTAAACAGAAATGAGGCTGCAGAAAGGGAAGAGTGATGGATTGTGAAGGGCTTGGCGGCCGAGGGTACAGGTTTGAATTTAGTCCTGTAAATGTGGCCCTACACTGAACGGTGGGTCCAGGGCAGTAGCCCTGAGGGCCCTGCTGGCAGAAGTGAGAACAGGAGTTTCCAGTTTATAGTTGTTAATTGCCTCCTGGGTTGTAAAGTCTGAATACTGGGTCCTGCCATTCAGCCAGCCTGAAATCTGAGCCCGTACCAGACTGAATGTTGACATTTGTGAATTTTACTTCATCCTTAAGAAAACCCCCATTTTTAAATGAGTAAGAGTTACTTAACTAGGTTGAAGGTTCAATTCCTGGTCAGGGCACATGCCCCGGTTGGGGCTCATTCCCCAGTAGGGGGCATGCAGGAGGCAGCCGATTGATGGTTCTCTCTCATCAATGTTTCTCTCCTCCCTTCCTCTCTTCCTCTCTGTATTAAAAAAAAAATTTAAAGAGTTACTTAACCTCTCTTTACCTTAGTTCCTAACAGTAAATGTGAACTAACATTTATTACATGCCAGGCACTGTTCTAAGCATTTATGTACATTAATTCTAACAACTCACAAGACAGATACAATATAGACCCATATTCAGATAAGAAAAGGGAAATGAAGAGTTTAAGTAGCTTTCCCGGGGTTGGATAGTCGCCAGGTAGCGGATCAGGGACTTGAACTCGGGCTTCTAGCTCCAGAATCTGTGCTTCTAACCACTTTGCTATCCTGCCTTTCCAGGTTGTTCTCCGAGCAGGTTCCCACATTTCTGTCACCTTCTCTGTAACCGTCCCTTGGATCCCGGTGGGAAGGAAAGAGGCCAGTGCCCTTCTTTCACCATTGCCCTGCTCCCTCCAAACCCTTGAGAAAGGGAAAAGTTGTCACTTGTCATAAAATGTTCTAGAACATTCTGCCGTGTGCACCTTTGGTATTGCAGCATCCTCATAGATTCGCTTTTCATCTGCAGGAGAAGAGGTCGGTGCTGGTCATCTTGTGGATCTTGGCCTTCCTGGCGGGGAACACCCTGTATGTGCTGTATACGTTCAGTTCCCAGCAGCTGTACAACAGGTGAGCAGAGGACGTGGGGGACTTGGTTGGGCTTAGGATGCACAGCCCTTCTGTGTCACATTGTTATAAACACGCGTGCCTGGAGCAGAGCTCTCTAGTAGAAATAGAACGCAAGCCCCATGTGTAACTTTCTAGTAGCCACATAGTTGGGGAGGGCTGGCCCGTGAGGGCTTCCAGGATGAGGTTGAAACTCGAGCCAAGCTTTCCGATCGTGTACATCTCTTTTGAACATTGACTGTGAGGAGTGAGCCGTTTTGCCACATTCTGGGGCCACCCAGAATAAAAGCATGTTGGAGAGTGAGTGCCAAGGCGTCAGCTCACATCTCACACACTGCATTAGTTGTCTGGCCCGAATATCAAGATCCTGGTGGAGGCTCTAGGAGGTGGAGTTTCCCAGAACCGTGGGTGAATTTCCAGCTCATGTCTTTCTCTGGGCATGATCACAGGCATGGGCCCAGCTCTCTGCGCGCCCATCAGACCTGCAGCACAGAGAGAAAGAGAAAGATAGAGAGAGGCTTAGCAGAGGAGCAACAGAGCTGAGGCTCTTCTGTGCCTCAGTTTCCTCATCTGCACATGGTGTAGGTAGTAGTGCCAGCCCCATAGAGGTGCTGTTATTGTCATCGTCACAGCTGCAGGGCACATCTGTAGTATGTCCATAAGCTCATTGAAACCCACCTATAACACAGTGAGGGAGGGTACGATTCCCATTTTATTGATGAGAACACTGAGCCTTACAAAGAGAACATTATTTGCCCAGGGTTCAATAAATGAAGAAGCTTGGATTCAAATGCAAGTCTGTCTGATACTAATGCATGTGTGTGACCTTGGGCATCTTACCTCTCCAAACATCAGAGCCTCGTTTATAAAGTGGGGATGAGCAATGCTCACTGCCAGGACCATGAGATACAGGGAGTAAAGAGCGTAGCACAGAGTCTGGCACATCAGTTTTCCTCTTCCTTCTCTTCCTCCCTCCTCTATAGTGTTGGCCTTTGTTCCCTCCTTTCTTCTGCTTCCTCTGTGAAGCCTGTTATGGACTCATAAAACTGGAGGGGACTTTAACTAATGATACTCTGGGCCAATCTCATCTTTTAACCCTCAAAGGAACTGAGGCTCAGAGAGGTTAAGTTACCCACCTGAGGTCACACAGCAAGTTACCAGCAGATTCAGGAACAGGTCACAGATGTCTGATCCCCAGTTCAGTGCCCTGCCTACTGGTCATATTTATAAGGTTCCCAGAGTGAGTAGAAGGAGCTGCGGAGGGCCCGTGATCATGCGTGAGCATCCTGACTCTCCGAATCCTCCCCACAGCCTCATATTTCTGAAGCCCAACCTGGAGAACCTGGACTTCTTCGACCTGCTGTGGATCGTGGGGATCGCAGACTTTGTCCTGAAGTACATCACTATCGCCCTCAAGTGCCTCATCGTGGCCCTGCCTAAGATCATCCTGGCTGTCAAGTCCAAGGTAGGCGGTGGCTGCGGCCACCAGGCAGCCCCAATCACACATGCAGGGGAGGAGGAAAGAATGGGTGTGGGCAGAGCTGATGTCATCATATCAAATGGACAGAGCCTGTCACTCACCGCTTACAGCTCGTTGAAGCTGAGCATGGTTCTTTGTTGTCAGCACCGGCCTGTGACACCTCTACTCCAAGTGCGTTTCCTGAGTTTCATTGTTCAAAGCTGCCCTTGGTGCAATTTGCATCCGAGTTTCACCTGAGAAAGGAAAGACAGCCTGTTGACATGCCCTGGTTGTGTTTCTCCCATGGAAGGATGGCTCTCAGAGGTTTTGATGCTTTGTGGCTTTGGGAGCATGTTTTGTAAAGGGAACCAAGGCTCCTTAGGAAAGGACTCTGTGATTGATTAGTGATGTCTGCTGTGGACATTGGATGGGGGAGTGATGGCAGTGATATTTTGCAGAGTACCATTACGGAAGGCCTGTAGACAAATGTTGGGTGGAAGAGGTCTTATACAGGGATAACCATGGTAATTCAGAGGACTGAGCAAGGCTAGGACAAAGCAGCACCTTTAGGATATAATTATTGCCAATGCCTCTGCAAGAAGACCCCAAGCGGAGGCCGATGGACTCAACAATCTCTGAAGACTCCTGCTTTTCATGCCATCTTTTCAACTTCAGAAAGCTTAGAATTCGGTTGGTGGAAAAGCAGGTTTAGAATTGGCCGTCCATCTTGAGTGACATCTGACCAAACCCATTGGCCAGGTGTATAGGGAAACCACACTCTGTACAGCTTCCATAGTGGGCTGCATGCTGCCCTGTCTCCTGCCCATTACACCTCTGATCCTTCTGCCTTAAAGGCCCTTTTCCTTACACGTGTCTTGACTAACTCCTGCTCCTACAGATCACAGCCTCTTAGAAATCTTACCTTCAGGCTACGGATGGTGCCCCTACTGAGGACACTCAGCACCCTATCCCACCCCTATTCCAGCACTCACCACCCTGACTGTAATTGCTTGTTTAGTTGTCTGCCTTCTCTGCTTGAGTGTAACCTCTGTGACAGGAGGAAATGAATGCATCTAGCTCGTTTGTTGATGGATCACCAGTATCTGGTATGTACTCGGAAGTGTTCATTGTATGTATGCATTATAGTTGGGTGGGTGGATGGATGAAGTAGGTGCTGAATAGGAAGGTTGGTGGATAAGATAGATGGGTGGGCAAGTGATTGGATGGATGGATGGATGGATGGATGGATGGATGGATATTTGGATGGATGGATGGATGGATGGATGGATGCATTGATCATCTAGTCAGCTACACTAACTCTTACCATCGCCTTTTGTAGCAGCAGGGAAAGCTTATATCTACTCTCAGCTCAGCTCAAATCTCTTGTGTTTGGTAGGTGTTCAAACGCCTCTGTCACAAAGATGCAGAAATCCACAAGGCAAAGTAGTACTAATTTCTCTGTGCTAGAAAGGACCAAAGAAATCTGGCAGCCAAACTAATAATAATGAAGACAGCTAAACATTGCTGAGCAATTACCAGGAGCCAGGCAATGTTAGGCAATGCCATTTGTTTGAGAAATATTTGCTGGATGCCATCTATATGCCAGGCAGTGTTCTGGGAACTGGGTATGCATCAGCAAACCAGGTAGACAAAATCCCATGTACTCGTGGAATTTGTTGTTTAATCTTAACACACCTGGGAGAGAAGATGCTGTGAATATCGCTTTTGAGAGAGCAGAAACTGAGTTAAATAACTTGCCAAAGATTGCAAACCTCATAGTAACAATACTGAGAGCATTGGGAGCCGCTAACGTGGAGTCAGCCCTGTGTACGGGCCAGGAAGACTCGAACTCATTTCCTCCTGACATCTATCTCACAAGGCAAGTGCTGCCATGTTGTGGGTTTCTTTATGGAGGCAAAATTTTCATAAAATGTACCAGTAATCATTTTAAAGTGTACCATGCAGTGGCAGTCACTGAACTCACAGTGTCATGGAGCCACCACCACTGCCTGGTTCCAAGACTTTTTCATCACCCCAAAAGGAAACCCTGCACCCATTAGCAGTCACTCGCCCTCCCCACAACCCCCGGAAACCCTCAGTCTCCTTCCTGTCTCTATGGACTATACCTGCTCTGGACATTTCCTATAAATGGAATCAGATATTATGCGATCTTCTGTGTCTGCCTTCCTCCCCTTAGCATCATGTTTTCAAGGTTCGCTCACATCGTAGCCTGTGGCATTGCTTTTGTGGGCTGAGTAATATTCCATTATGTGGCTAGACGGCCACTTGTTCATTCATTCATCTCTCAATCAACATTGACGTTGTTTCCATTTTGGGGCTGTGGTGAATAATGCCGCTTTGAACATTTCTGGACAAGTATCTGTTGGAACACGACTTTCCTGGGTTGTGGAAATGCGAGGTTTTGTGTGTTTTTTTGAGGAAACACCCATCCGCTTTCCACAGCAGCTGAGCCATTTCGCACTCCTGGCAAGCGCTGTTTTTAATCCCCATTTTTCAGAGAAGACAACAAACACAGTGAGAGATTAAGAGAGCAGCCCAAGGCCACACCGATTGCAAGTGGCCAGGCGAGGATTTGAACTCGGGCGTCTGACTCCAGACCCCCTGCTCTGGGTCACTAGGCAGCACCCCTCCCATCTCAGTTCGCTGGATTTGTCAGGGAAGTTCCGCAGCGCTGACCGAGGAGGGAGTCCCCATGCACCATCTGTATGAAATGTCCTCAAGTTCACGCCGTGGCTACCTCACTTCCTTCTCCTTCGAATGGACACCTCTGGGGGCAAGGGGCGGGGCTGGGGCCCGACACCTTTTCCCTGCTCCACCGAGGTGTAGGCGACAGTTATTAATGTCCCCTTGGCAACCGTCCAGCTCCCTTTTTCTGATTATTATTATTTTATTCGGCGAGATTAATGTGCCAGGTCAGAGCATAATCCAGCCTGTAGAGAGTGATGTGAATAGTCTTCTCAAGATAAATTGCAGGCTTGGAAAAGGTTCACAGCCTCTCCTTGCCTGTCTGAGTGCTCTCCCGAATCCTCATCCATCCTTGTCTGGGCAGAAGAAAAGGACGGGTCTTCGTTGGCAGCTGGGGGGGTGCGGGGGAGAAGAACACATCTGTCAGGGACGCCTAATGGCTCACAGCACAGATGCTCTTTGCTGCGCCTCCACGCCGTCCGCTGAGAGGGTGGGTTGGTTTTTAATATAATTATCAGACTGGAAGGGCTTCTGGTATTTGGGTTTGCTTGATGGTCCCAGGGTCCCTGATGCGTGAGGCTGAGCGAGCCCCCAATTCCCACATGCCTTGGGACACCGAGTCCTCTCACACCTGGGCCTCCCAGGAGAGCCATGGCCATTGGCCGGCCAAAATGGGGGTGGGGTTAACGATGGTGACGGCTCATCTTCAACCTCAGCCCCAAACCATCACACTGGCTAGGTGTCTGGGCAGCCACTTGTCATTATAAATCCAGGTAACTTATATAACCCGTACGTCTTGGCCCTGCCTGATCTGGCTCCTACCCACTTCTCTGACCTCATCAACCCATGACTTTCTCCCTGGCTCACTCAGTGCACCCAGTGCACCCAGCGCCTTCCTTCTCAGGCCCTTTGCACTTCCTGCTCCCTCTGTCTGGGGAAGTCTTCCCTGTGCTCCATGGGCATCTCCTGCCCATCAGTCAAGCCTTGTTCCAATGCCATTTCCTCTGAGACCCTGTCCCCTCCCAGGCCACCCTGTGGAAAGTGGTTGTTGCCAGCCTGCATTATCACACCGCCATTTGATTTATTAGCACGTACCAGTGTCTGAAATGATCAGATCGTTTTGCGTTTGTTTTCTCTCTCCCAGCTAGGATGTGGCCTCCTGAGAATAAGGACCTTTAGGTCTGTCTTGACTCCCAGGAAATGCACAATAGTTATGATGGGCTGAATGGAGAGCCTCGTGTTAAGGGATCGGGGGGTTAAAACCAGGCCTGCTGCTTCCCACCATGTAGAGTTCTCCTTGGCCCCCTCTCGCTCACCAATGCCACTGATGTTACTGAGGACCTGTTTGCTTACAGGGGCCAGTGCTAGACCCTGAGCGTGTAAAAATGAGTAAGATGCCACTCTAACCTTCCTCGTCTCCCTTTATTCTTTGCGAGTAAAGTTTGTTTTTATATTAACCTAACCCAAACCTAGTTAAGAAGGCAAATCTCTTGTCCCAGCATCATATACTCCAACTCCTACTCTAAATGGTAGCAGTAATTAAAAATTTAACTTGTCCACATTGCTCCTTCTTTTATTAAAATTACTCTTGGACCAGGGTTCTAGAGCTGCACTGTTCAGTACAACAGCCACCAGTCACCTGTGGCTGTTTAAATCTAATTTTAATTAAATTAAAAATTCAGTTCCTCAGGCCCTAGCTGGTTTGGCTCAGTGGATAGAGCATCAGCCTGTGGACCAAAGGGTCTTGGGTTCGATTCCAGTCAAGGGCATGTACCTTGGTTGTAGGCTCCTGGCCCTGGTCGGGGTGTGTGCTAGAGGCAACCAATCGATGTTTCTTTCTATGTTCACATTGACTGTTTCTATGTTTCCCTCTCTCTTCCACTCTCTCTAAAAGAACAATGGAAAAATATCCTCAGGTGAGGATTAACAACAAAAATAATTCAGTTCCTCAGTTATATCAGCCACATTTCACATGCTCAACAGCCACACATGGCTAGTGGCTACCATGCTGGGCAACACAGAGAGAGAACATTAACATCATCATAGAACATTCCATTGGACAGCACTGTTCTAGAACATTCTCAGGGCAAGGTTATTTCAACCTCCCAGAGTGTGGGTAGCAGGCATCTGTCATTCTGTGCATTTCTCAGGCAGAGAAAAATAAAAGCAAGCACTTCTCTAAGGACTTTCAGTGGGTCACTAGTAAATGGAGACACACAGCAGAGTGGAAAGAACACTCACCTTGAGTCACAAAGCTAGGTTCAAATCCTGGCTCCTGGACTTCTTTCCTGTGTGACCTT